CATAATGCTATTAGGGGGCTACGCAAACGACAGACGAATATTTGCATTTTGTATGCTGTGTGGCTTATGCGGTACATTTCAATGTTTTTTATTTTTACGGGGGAATTTTCTTTCATAAATCGCGCCCGGTGTAGGTTTTGCCAAAAAAGAAGGAGCTGACAAATTGGCAAGAGTTATCATACTCCCCCAGACGAGTTTCCAAATTGTCGTCTCATGCGGGTATCGTATCGTGGCTTAGTAATTACGGTGCACAAAGAGGAATCACTTGGCTGGCCCAAGATGAAGGGCGGTATTATTGTAGCCGTAAGGGGAGAGGATTATCGGTATTACGAGACGCCGCTCTCCCTACTCCCGTGGCCGAAACTTTGCTTTCTCCAAGCCACCAATAGTGCTCACATTTTGTCCAAAGAAGAGCGTGTTGGTTGGCGAAATGTTAACATAAATTACGAACGAGCATACCTAAAGGGAATAGATTATAGAGTCGGTTCCTGCCCTATAATAACAATTGCTGATTCTCCTCGAATTAGGTAATCAAGATTACAATATTGTATTCACATACCTGCTGGTAAGAACCATTGTGTCAGATGGAATAAGTTGCCCTTTATCCTTTAAGTATCTATACGTCAATTACGTCAGGCTATATAATGCCCGATGTAAAGCTTGAACGCGAAAAGATAAGAGGTAGGCTAGAACGCAGTGATAGAGAAACGGGAACAAGCACATCACAAACATGCCTGAAAACCAATTATTTGCTTTATTACATAAATAATGGGCCCGGTTGTAATTCGAACCAAGACCAAAAGTCAAACGTGATCTGATTAAAATCAAACGTTGCTGTTTAAAACTAACTCTTTTTCAAATTTTTAAATATATATTTTCAATTAATAAAAAACTATGATGAATATATCTTAAACCTTAAAGCTTAGTACAACATTAATTTTTAGAATCCTAACTTGACAATACTTGTACTTAATATATATTACTGTGTAAGGACCGCGCGTTATAATAGTGCCACTAAAGTGGTCCTAAATTATTCTGAATTATATAATCAACGGTCTGCCGTTGCGGGTTTATTAGTTTATTAGCAAAAATCTGTCTTACTACCATCAGTAACATTTTAGGCTTAACACATTCACTGTCTGGTTTCCTGACACAAAAGTAAGACAATAGCAATGTACTATATGTGGCTCATTTTGAGCAATCACTACCTCGGACACTGCATATGTATGTCATGCACGCTGAACGGCTGCCCCGCAGAATGGTCTGTAAATCCTTATCATAAGATCTGAGTATAGATGATATGGTCCTGAATGTAGAGCGTTCGTCAGATCTTGTAGCTTGGCAGGGCGTTCTGCAAACTTTTGTAGCGGTCGCCACTCAGCCGTTGTTAGCCATATTGTCTTTCTACAATCGTTAACGCTAATAAATACTTAAAAAATGAATCCCTTATAAACTAAGATAATGTAAAACTCTCTTTAATTAAAATTAATTAAATTTTAATTCCAACCATCGCACAGCACATGCAACTGTGCGATGGTGAGAGTCTTGAATTCATCATCATCATCATTACAGCCCTTCACAAGTCCACTGCTGAACATAGGCCTCCCCCAAGGAATGCCACAAAGCACGGTCCTGAGCTACCTGCATCCATCGACTTCCTGCATATCTTACCAGGTCGTCACTCCATCTAGTGGGGGGACGCCCTACACTTCGCCTGCCGGTACGAGGCTGCCACTCGAGAACCTTTTTTTCCCATCGGTTGTCGGTTCTTCGAGCTATATGGCCGGCCCATTGCCACTTCAGCTTACTAATCCGTTGGGCTATGTCGGTCACTCTGGTTCTACTGCGGATATCCTCATTTCTAAGATTATCCTGCAGAGAAACTCCGAGCATAGCCCTCTTCATAGCTCAGTGAGCTTCCTCATCTAGCCAGCAGTGAAGGACCACGTCTCAGTTCCATAGGTCATCACTGGCAACACGCACTGGTTGTACAATTTCGTTTTAAGGTTTTGAGGTATGTCTCACGAGAAGATGTGTCGTAGCTTCCCGAACGCTGTCCAGCCGAGTTGAATCCGTCGATTGACCTCTCGGTCGAAGTTGGACTTACCTAGTCGGACTATTTCTCCCAGGTAAACATACTCGTCAACAACTTTGAGCTTAGTGCTCCCAACAACTACCGGCATAGGTGTGACATGGACGTTAAACATGATTTGTGTTTTTGCCATGTTCATCTTAAGACCTATCCATTGGGAAACACTATTGAGGTCATTGAGCATAGTGCTTAGGTCCTCCAGCGATTCCAGGTTTCGTACTCTGGTTTTGTACTCGTATAGCTATCGTAGCCCTATTTTGCAAGCACTTCAACACTTCGATATACCGACAGTCAACTTGGCACCGCTGAAGGGACTGCAGCACCGCTCAAATTTCGACGGAATCAAAGGCTTTCTTATAGTCCACATACGCCAGACATAGTGGCAAATTGTACACCTCGGACTTCTGTACACTTTGCCGAAGGGTATGTATGTGGTCTATGGTGCTAAAGCCTTTTCGGAAACTGGCTTGTTCGGGAGGCTGGAAGTCGTCAAGTCTGCGCGCGATACGATTCGTAATGACTCTCGAATACAACACGTAGATGCGGCTCAGAAGGGGAATCGGTCTTTAGTTCTTCAAGAGAGCGTTGTCACCTCTCTTGAAGAATAAGACCACCGCAGTTCTGCTCCACGCCTCCGGTGTAATGACACCATAGAGGACGGAATTAAAGAGATTCTGAAGGACTTCAAGTACCGGTTTTCCAACCGCTTTCAGACGCTCCGCTGTAATTCCATCCTCGCCTGGGGCCTTCCTGTTTTTAAGGTGCTGGAGAGCCATTCTAATCTCGCTCAGATTGACGTCCGGGATATCATCGGAATAATGTCGGATAAGACTCGCTCTTGGATCGTTACTCACACTTGCGTGCGGCTCCAACGATGATGTGTACAGCTGCACATAGAACCTCTCAATCTCACTCAAAATCTCAGGTGTCCCGGAAACAATGCTGCCACACTCGGTCTTCAGCTTCGACAGTTGGCTCTTTCTGGCAGACAGATCTCTAGCAAAGACTTTTGAGCCCTTGTGCCGCTCGATCGTTTCTTCAATACGAGCAGTAAGTGCGTAAGTCCCGCCGCATGCATTTGGAGATCTGTCTGTTCAGTTGGCTGTATGCTGTCAAATCTACTGGAGACTGCAGATTCATGTCCAGTCTAACAGCCATAAGATTAAGAGTGTGATCGGAGAGTTTTTGTGTTCTTCTACGGCGGGTCTTGCAAAACTTAGTTCCGACCACATGGACAGTTTCCACGAGCTTGTCATTTATATCGTCCATTATATTGCAATTTTCTAGGCACTGAAAATGGTTTTGTAGCTCGAGCTGAAAGGTTTCGGGACTTTGGATTAGAGCACGAGGGGGACGGAGCATTTACTTCATTAGACTTGACCTTTCCAACTTAACGTTTAGGTTCAGTGTGCCTCTCACCGTTCGGTGATCGCTGCCGGTTTTCACCCTCGCGATCACTAAGACATCACTGCACAGTTGTCGTATGGTCGTGATAATGAAGTCAATCTTATATTTTGTCGAACCGTCGGGGCTTGACCAGTTCTACTTCCAGTAGGGCCGCTTCTGAAAAAAGAGTTCATCATAAAGAGTCCTCTTTCTCTATGAAGTCGGCCAGCTGCTGGTCCCTTGGTTTCCGTTGCCCTATTAAAAATTTTCCTACTTTCAGCTTACCGTTCTCTCTTGTGCCTAGTTTTGCATTGAAGTCTCCCATTAACACCGTATAGTGGGTTTTGGAGAAATGCATGTCTCTAGAGATATCCTCATACATTTCCTCCATCTCCTTATCGGGATGTGCCGAGGTGGGTGCGTAAACCTGTATGACCTTCAGCGAATACCGTTTGGTGATTCTGAGTAACCCTCGTCGACATACTCTCAATATTTACAACGTTGTTAACGAGAGACTTGTGGACAATAAATCCGACACCTCCTTGGGACAGATGGTCACCCTCCCGGTGATAGAGCAAGTTGCCGGATTCGAGCATTACCGTGTCCTCCCCCTCTCTTCGGACCTCGGATAGTCCTATGATATTCCAGCGTAACTTGTCTATCTCTTCTTCCAGCTCCAGGATCTTCTCGTCAGTCCTCAGGGTGCGTGCGTTATAAGTTGCCAGGTCGAGTCGTCTTAGGTTGCAACTGAACCTCCACCGGAGATTCCTAGCACCCCTGCCCTGCCGTTACCATGGTCGCCACCGTAGCCAGGAATAGCGGGGCCGCCGGGGACTGGAGGCCGTCTCTTTGTTACTCTCATGGGGAGTATATTGCCATAGTTGCCACGCTTGGCGAGCGGGTTGGCAACCGCAGTTTTTTATTGCTGTTTTGCTATTGTCAGAAAGATGCTGCTGCCCATTCTCTGCCTAAGTTTCCCTCTGTCACCTCTAACGACACCCACGGGAAGACATGGGGTAGTGAGTATTCTTTCCCGCCACTACAAGGGGTGGCTTGAATTAGTCCGAATAATTTCTCAGAGCACTTCCTGTGTTAGATGCGATAAAATACGCAAAGAGATGTAACATCTCTACGCAGCGCCAGTGAATTAAGCCGATCGGAAAGAACTCGGTCGTCGACGATTCGAACCACTCTGCCCTAGATGTGGTCAAGTTGAAGGAGCTAGCACTGGGGAGTCCCAGCCCAGAGATGGGAACAGTATTCCATGTGAGGCCGAACCTGCGCATTGTAAAGTTGCAGGCGGCGTACCGGCATGAAATATTCTCCCGCTCTGCTGAGTACGCCAAGCTTTTTAGAGGCTAATTTAGCCTTCTCTTCCAAGTGACCATGAACCTGCACTCGATATGTTGGCGCCGAGGATTTTGATACTGGCTGAGGCAACAACGGTAGTTCCTTGAAACTGAGGAGATACGACAAAGGGGTTCTTTCACCGGTAAACGCGCAAACTTGTGTCTTCTGAGGATTAAACTGGATTAGGTTTAGGCAACTCCATATGGTCCAAAGGTAAATCATCCAACAACTCGTAACCAGCAGTACTCATGCGATTAATAAGCTCTGTTTTTAAGATCCGCACCTCTTCAATAGTGTCAGCGCTCCCGTTAAGGTCATTAACATAACTAATAGCCCTTAAAATGTTCGCTGCGCGAAGATAACGCTCCCCCTCATCCTCAGCTAGCTGTAGCAGATAACGAATCGCCACGAAGGGGCTGGAGTACAGGCCGTACGTATGCGTCGTAAGCTCATACACCTGCACCAGATCCGCAGGAGATTCACGCCATAAAATTAATTGATACTTTCTAACTGCCGCGTGTATCCATGTTTGACGAAACATCATTCTAATTTCAAGAAAATTTTTCAAAGTTTTTCACTGTCAAATGCTACGTATATTTAACCTATTTTATTTTGTTATTTAGAGGCCAATTATGGCTTACAAATTTCAACAAAAAGATCGGTAAATATATAAGAAAGTTATTATAATAAATATTTTTTGATATCAGACATAATACTCATTTATAAAGGAAAAGATTTCAGCTGCTTTGTTGTCAACTGTCAAAGCATAACGACTACATACAATTTTTATCAATATGAAATAAATCCAGGCAAGTAATGTGATAATATTTCATTTATAGAGTAAAGTGATTTTATTTAGGCCGTAAATATTTGTTTTTCAGGGAAAGATGCGGGGCGGGGTACAGCACATTTCAAGTTTATATGAAACTATGTAATATAAAGACTTTTGAGTATTGTAGAGATCTGTTTATATGTTTTAATGAATATCTTCGCTCCGCTACATTCATAGCCGTATTTCCTACATTGTCCAAATTGTACCGACGGTAGGCGGTTTACTCTAATCAGAGTTATGAATTTCTACGGTAGGCTGTAAAGCCGAAATACTTTTACTATGGCATCGTTTAATATGTATATTTAATCTTCTTTTACCTTTAATGAAACGTAATTGCTCTAATGAAACAAATGTTTCCCTATTTACGGAGCAAATTCACAATTATCATCGTAATGTACCAGTGGTTAAAATAATTCTTAGAGGTGCGAGGATGCAGCTTACTAAAGCATTGTCATACACTATTCAAAATTGCTTCACTAATAGTGAAAAGAGTTGGCAAACATTATTTACTTTTGCGTTTTCTCATTTTCATTTTGATAAAACAATAAATAAATCAATAACTTCTCAACTAAATGAGACATCTTTTCAAAATTTGGATTACCCAATTAATACTCATTTATCTCGACCACGTCTTAAAAAAGTAATCGAGTCGAAAGTAGTGGATGGCGACTTAAAAATGCATCCCGTATTTTATTCTCAGATGACATCCTAACTCATCGTAATGTCGAAACTCTTGAAAACCTTCGTCAGAAGCATCCTTCGGTCAAATCTACTCAAGGTTTACCGCTGCCTCCCAAGACTTCTATGTAATCTTTACAAATTTCTGAAAAAAAAAATACTTTAGAAGCAATTATGTCATTTTCGAATGGCTCTGCTGGCGGCATTGACGGAATTACGCCGCAACATCTTAAAATCTTGTAAGCACTTCTGCCGGTGACGCCGGCGGAGTACTTTTTAATGACATTACAAAATTATGTAACTTCATGCTTTCTGGTAATGTTAATCCAAATTTCATTGCATTCCTATATGGGGCAAGATTATGTGCATTCAAAAAAGGGTATCCGTCCTATTGCGGTTGGTTCCACATTTCGACTCTTAACTTCAAAATTACCTTTCAGGCACATAATCTCTAAACTTAAGACTAAAATTCAGCCTACTCAACTAGACTTTGGCACTATAGATGGCTATGAGGCGGCGGTACATTCAGTGCGTACATTTTTAACAAACTCTGATGCAGATATTCTTGTTAAGGTTGACCTAAGGAATGATTTCAACTCTATCGATAGAGTAACTTTGCTGAAAGAAGTGGCTTACAATACCCCCGAAATTCATCATTATGTTTGGCAATGTCACAGTTAAAATACTAACTTGTTTTACGAAAACCATGTTATCGATGCTGCTGTCGCTGTTCAGCAAGGTGACCCACTAGGTCCAGCACTTTTTAGTGTGGGAATTCAACCCATTATTTCAAATTTGAAATCCAAGCTGAATATCTGGTACCTGGACGACGGTACACTGGGAGGTAGAGCAGATGACATCCTCAGTGATCTTACTCATATTTTTCGAAATTTTAAAAAATATTGGTCTTGAAACAAATAGCAATAAATGTGAAATATTTGTTTCCAATAATTTATCTACTTCTCATAGAGACACTTTAATTCAAAACTTCAATTGTATTTGTCCACGAATAAAAACTGTCAGTACGGAATCACTATACTTGCCAGGTGCCCCGTTGTTTTTCGGTAGTATTTGATCTGTTTTAAAAACGAAAAATGATCGGTTTTTAAACCACGTTAATAAATTGTATAAATTAAACCCCCACATTGCTCTTACCATTTTAAAATATTTTCCAGTCTGGAAATGTTTGGATATTTTTAAATAAATTATAATATTCTTAAAATAGCTATAAAAAATTCTTAATTTAAATTTATATACGACAACCTGGACTCCAGTAACTTTTCCTATAAAATTTGGTGCTATTGGTATGAAAAATCTTTCTGGCGTTGCATTGTTCTTCTTTCCTTGCTTACTTGCAAAGTATCAGTGATTTATGTAACATAATTTTGAATAATAACGTAGACCTGTGCTTTGCTACGGAGGAAAGGCAGACATGGCAAACGCTCTGTCCCAGTGAAAATGTTCCACTGGAAGTTAAACTGCAAAAACAGTGGGATATTACGATGGTACAGAGCGTGCGGAAAGATTTGTTTCATAATTTCCATAGTGCCTAAGATAAGGCAAGCCTTCTACCTGTTTCGACTAAGGGATCTGACTCCTTTGTCGAAACACTGGTTACACGCTTTACCATCGAGTAATCTTGGCACATTATTTGATGGGGAAAGCTTGCGCATCACCGTAGGAATCCGACTAGGAGCGGCCATTTGTCAAGTGCCCACCAGTGCCCCTGTGGTAGCAGCGTCAAGTTTGGTCTCTACGGAATTTCATGTAAGAAAAGTGCTGGTAGGTTTTCACGGCACGGTTCTCTGAACGATTTCATCTGAAGAGCTCTTGTCTCTATAAATGTTCCCTCGGTTTTAGAGTCTTGTGGAATATTTAGAGACGATGGCAAGAGACCCGACGATTTGACATTGGTCCCTTGGGAGAGAGATAAAGCCATAGTGTGGGATGCTACTTACGTAGACACTCATGCGGCCTCTGATCTCAGGGGTACCTCGTTTAGGCGGAGTGGCATCAGAGGCAACTGAATTGAATAAGTGGCGCAAATATGAGTCTCTGAGAGATGACTACATATATGTGCCATTTGCTGTAGAGACTATCGGTCCGTGAGATCCACGTGCGGTGAAGTTCCTTAAGAAAGTCCATCCGCGGCTGGTCATTGCTGCTGGTGATAAGAGGGTAGGCTCTTTTCTCGCTCAAAGGCTAAGTTGGGCCATTCAGCGGGGAAACACAGCCAGTGTCCTTGACACGATTCCGCAGGGAGGTCTGTATGATAATTTAGTTACTAGTCTTTTTTATTATAGTTTTTTTAATATCTGTGATAAAAACAAACTTGTGACATCTAAAATTTAAAATAATTTTAGTGACGTCATTTTGTAGTTTTTCTCCTGAATATTCCTGAAAATTCTGTCGTTTAATTTAATTTAAAATTAGTCGTTAAGCGATATGCCGTTTCAAGGTTTTAAGTTGCCGACAAAAACTATTCTTATTTTTCCCGAACCCAACTTAAACACGCCGTTATACGCTAAAAATAATGTTCATCATTTCTATTTACATTGAAGTTCGATTATTGCATTTGCCCAAATGGAATGTATTCATAAATTTTATATATTTCTCTCGAAATTCTGGCTCTCTTTGCATTCGTCGCTCAAGTGCCATAAAACGCCTGCCCTGTCTTAGGAGTCACCTAACCGTTGATAACCGGGAAAATGCATTTACCGTCCGAATCGCGTGAGGTGGTAGATATGAAAAGGGTTTGACATTCAATATCCGCCGGATCTCTATTTCAAACGACAAAGATCGTTATCTTTACAAAATTATGCATTATGATCACAGAAACAACGAAAACATAAACCTTGATTTTTAACACACTCCTTACGAACATTAACCGACACATTTTTAAATTTATGACATTTATTTATTACGTGGCCCGTATAAAGAAAATAAACACATTGTTTAATAGTAGAACCACATTCCTTAGAATTATTAATTTCCGTAATGTTAGTGTGTTTATCTAGACGTCGTACGTTTCGCTCTGGGTACGTGTACGTCGTTGTATCTATCACCGCTGTAACTAAAAGTCTACTCTCATTTTGTATGACATCTGTTAATTGAGTAAATGTTGGTAGAACAACACCCTTACCGCCGTAAAGCTATTCAAAACGCATTTTAATATCAATGGGTAATTTTATAAAATTAATATGCAACAAAATTTAACTCCACTGCTCCGTGGGCATGCGTTCAATATTTTTGACCGAAGTCCCAAAACTTTGTTTTGAACCGGTAAATGTAAGATTTCCGCGATATGGGAGTCTGCTGATAAACGTTTGTTTTCATATTGACTTTTTAATATTTCTAGCGCCGTATCTAATGACTCGTCAACCATTGGCAAATGCTTTATGAGCAACCGAGGTTTATTTTCGACATGTGAAAAGAGGTAAACCGCGTCCAACTCTTCTAAATTAATTTTCCCTCCATAAATTTTCAATCAAAATTTTTAATTTCCTCAGTGTACTATGTAGCACTAAGGACGCCCACATATGTTCCACAAAGATCCGAATATTTGTCAGACGTAAACTAATATAAAGTACCAAAAACTAATGTGAAGCCCAAATAACCCGAAAATACTAACCGGCTCGTAGGAACCAAAAAAGGGTGTTAGGGTGACCTTCGATAGTCAGCAGAGCTGGTCTAGATTTTCGTCTGGGTCTCTTAGTCTAGTGGAACAAAGGGCACTCACCTTCAACCGTTCTTGTCGAGCCGCCACCGTTGCTTTGACTATAGATGAAATCAGCACTGCCGAATGTCTGTCCATGCATTATAAACTCATTGAGACCGCCGCAATCAACTTTCAATGACGTAATATATTGAGATATTCAGAAAATAGTTCAAAGAGAGGGAGAAAGATGTTGCGCCGCCGCCGATCAACCTATGAATAGAATAGTGGGGGCGAATGACATTAAGCGGACGGGAATATATGATAGTTCTTCTCGATCAATTCAAGTATGCGAATGAAGCTGGACGAAGTCCACAAG